CTACATTGAAGGCCATCAGCTTTTGGTCAGCCCACCTTGACAGCATGTTCAAGACAGCCTGTATACCCAGCCTGTCATGCGGTGTGACCGCCCTCCCCCATAACTCGGTGTCATCCACAAACTTGGCCAGTTTGCATCTGACTCCCAAATCCAGATCATGAATGAAGATGTGAAAGAGTACCAGCCTGAGTACCAGCCCAAGCACCGAGCCCTGAAGGACTCCACTGGTCACCCTGTGCCACGTTGATTTGCTCCCATCAACTAGTATTCTTTGGGTCCGACTCCATAGCCAGTTACTTAGCCACCATACTGTAAGATGATCAAGGCCACAGTTGCACAGCTTAACCATGAGGACATCATAGGAAACTAAGTCAAAGACTTTCTTGAAATCCAGATATATGACATCTACATCATCTCCCTTGGATTATGTTTTTGAGAGATGACCATTCCTCATGTACTCCCCTTTCTAGGGGCCTCTAAATGCCTGACTGAGCAAATCTCTGAGTTTTCAAAAATCAGCCTTCCCAAAGTTAAGGATTTCTGTTTTACTGAGGGATTTGCTTGCTCTTTGGTGAACTAAGAAGGTGACCAATTCATGGTTGCTGTCACCAGGCTTCATCTCAAGCCTCACATCACTCACCAGGTCTTGCTCTTTGGCCAAGACCAGATCAAGCAATGCCTCTGCCCAGTGCATGCCCAGACTTAGAATCTGTCTGGAGACATCCAGGTTAGCCCCTAATATTACTAAATATTTTAAAAAATTATATAAAAATATCATAGAAGTTGATTAGTGTAGAGTCACTAGAAATGAAAATTTTAAAAAGGTGCTAAGGTGTTAAGATACTGGGCTTGGAGACAGAGGAAGCAATAGTTTCAAGGCACTGATTTGGACTAGGAGATTGAAGTGCACTCCAGGCTCTGCTGTTAACTGTATAACACCGTCAATCATATTCTAGGAAGCTACTGTGTCACACTGTTCCCAGAAGTACTGCTTCAGATAAGTCGTTTTCAGGAGTGCTTCCAAACCAAACCATTGGGTTTGGTCCTGATCCTGCACTTCTCACAGAAATTCAGTCATTTATTTTTTATCATCATTAATGCTCTGCAAAAAGACTGAAATCAAAATGAAATGGACATTTCATTTCCAAAGACAAATACATTCAAAAGCCCACTGCACTCCCTACAGTGAAGTCACTTTATTAACTTTACTAATGTTATTTTGACTTTAAGAAATACAAGGAAAGACAACTATTTTGTCATGGTAAGTGTCACCACCTAGTCCTGTTTTATGAAGACATTCTTAGCCTTTGCATATCAAACGAAACTCTGTACCATTGTTTTCTTTGGAGGAGCTTTTGCTGATAGCAAGAGAATTTGTTCTTTGCCTTAATTCTCGCAGCAAGAGTCAATCCTTGTGACAGACTTGCTTTCTGGGAACTGGCCACTAATGTCTTAATGGGAATTTCTGACAAAAAAAGATTGCCCCAGATACTGTTTTGGACCACCTCTGCTCAAGGATTGATGCAAAGTGAATCAGCAAGTTATGCTAAATAAATACCCAGATATCTGTAAGGCCTTAAAATCTGCTGTTGCTTGGCCTGGAGGCAACAACGGGAATAAGGCATGCAAGAAATTCCACTACATAAAAGCCAGTACATGCCATTATCAACTCTACCATAGCCCTGGCAAATAGAATTGGGACCTTCACATTAGCAGCAAAGTGGCATAGGATTAGGGAAAGCAACTCCTGCAATAACACAGAGTTCCATTGGGTTTTATATCAGCCATCTCAAGTAGTGGCAAAAAAGCAAACTTGACTTTATGCTGAAGGATATTAGATGCCAGACCTTTCCCTTTCCTACACATATGAAAGCTAACAACACTCCGCAAGAAACTCTTCAAATTTCCTCTAGATTGGTGCTTCTCAACCTTTTTAGATTCAAGGCACCCCTCCATAACTTTTATGACTTGAGTAGCATCCCATTTCAAAAATGATCTTATTACCTGGGAACCTGGTTTTCTCTATTAAAAATCGCAAATTCCCTTATATTAACTCCCCCCACAAATCCGCACTTTTCCACAATTAAAATTAAATGCCACTATATATATACAGGTATCAGCTGAACACAATGTTTTACTGATATATTTACCATTTTAAAGAAATTTGGAAGCCTGCCAGTGCCTCAATCACTATAATAAAATCAATTCTAAATACCTATAGAATTTTGATGTTTGATTTGGGGTTTTTTATTATGGGAAATCAGAGCTCCCCCTACCCACTTCACTCACTAGGATGCGGGTCCAGCTGCAGCTGTCCCCCCTCCACTTCTTTATGGTGCTGAGCAACCTTTGATATACCAGTGTCCTGCCCATGCCTTTGCCCCTCACTCCCCACCCACAGCCCTGCAGGAGAGGGCCTCCAACTTCCAGGAACACAGGATCAGGGACCTGGGCCTGCAGCCCCCCGCCCCCGCAAGCAGTACCCGAGCCCCGGTTGCTGCCCATAGATACAGCTTTAACTGTTTTTTCTACATACCTCAAAGTACCAGGTGTGGCTCGTGAACACTGCAATGGTGGGGCAGATGGAGCATCCCACAGGAGCATGGAGAGGCCCCCCCCCCCCCCCCGGGTGCTCAGCGGTGAACCTGGAAGTGGACCAGAAGTACTTCTGGTTCACCTCTGGGTCCACCACCAAGTGCGCTGGCTGTCGCCCCCTATGCCCCCCCATTCAGCAATTGGCCATGGGGGGACCCCAGGTGCCCCCCCAGACCCAGGAAGTACCAGTCCCTGAGCACGAGGGGTGTGGCCCCTAGTGCACTCCCTGGCAGACCCAGAAGTGGACCAGAAGTGTTTCTGGCCCACTTCCGGACCTACTGCCAAGCATGCTGGAGAGCCCCCCATGCTCCTGTGGGATGCTCCATCCACCCCAACATCTCAGCATTCACGAGCTGCCTAGTACCTTGAGGTATGTGAAAAAAAACATTTAAAGCTGTGTCTGTATCTGAATCATCAAATCTTTCCAAATCAATTCTGAGGGTTCTGCTTCGATTCGGAGAGATTAAAGGGTCTCCTGATTTGATTTGGATTCAGAGATTTGGCCACCAAATCCAATCAGGGACGAAAGCTTCACAAAACCCTACTATCCATCTATCTACCATGGTTCGTATAGTCAGTCATCAGCAGAGTTTGCTCATAATGACCATACTAACTAAATTAAAAGACTTCTCTAACAGAGAATGAATTAAATGCTGATGGATGGGGACACAAGTCTCAAGCCATCAGTTAATCAGACGTACACTTTTGAACTTCTTCAGTATTGTTTTGAAGTATACGCCATCCTTGAATAATTTAGGGGTCAAAAAAGTCTTTAATCATCATTTCTTAGTAAGAAATGAGTGATCACGAAGCCCAAACAGTTACAGGATACCCATCTTCTGTTAGTAAGAATACTAAACTAGTCCCAGTAAGAATTCCTATCCCATGCTCCCCCCTTCCATGCAAAAATGTGTATTCTCTCACTTTGATATAAAAAAATCAATGTTATTTAATGTTAACTAATGATATAAGGACCTCATGTTATTACAATTTGGGCTTATTTTCATTGGGGGTGGTCCCAATTCCTAGAAAATATTGTTTAAAATGTTATCTTTGAGTCTTTGATAAAGTAGGATTATTTTCATGATACCATAATAAAATGAAAGTACAAATTGCATGGTTTTCAAATTTCATTGCAAACATTTCAGTCTTTATACCAATCCACAAGGGCATGTGCCAATTTTGAGTCTGCAAAAGTAGAGTCTACAAAAGTAGTAGCCAATTTTGAGTCTACAGCCCATTCCAAACCCTGCACACTTGTGCTACTAAACTTTTCACACACAAAGTCCTTTTGGAAAATAAAATCAGGCCAATTAAACAAATGTTTATATAACAATGTTATTTTCCCCCCTTATAGTAACCAGATCTGCCAACTCTGCTGTACTAGATAATTACCATATTACCCATTATAGAAATATTTGGTTTGACAAGTTTCTACAGTTCTAATTCAGCCAGGGGCATCAACATTCCTGTGAAAATATCAAGTTTATGGTGTAGTAGCAGGACAAGGAAAAGGAAGAGAAGGAAAAACAGTTTTGAACATGCAAAGCCCAGTGCAGGGAAAAATGGGATTTCAAAGCACAATAAAATGATAAAATGAACAATAGAACAGGATTTGAAGTCCTGCTTTGTAGTGTATTGCAGTTCAGGATGGAGACACAGCTCAAAGAACAAGTATTTTATCAAAAGAACAGAACATCCATTGGGCCACTTCTGCTTCTTTGTGGATGCTAATAGTAGAAATGGTGTTGTAGTATCACCTAAAGGACACTACCTAAATTGAGATCTGGTTGCACTACACAACATCAAAACAGTCTAAAGTTCTTTGGAGCAGGTATAATCTCTTACTTAAACAGAGAGAAAAAAGATGTAATTGAACAAAAGCCAGTAAGAACTTCAATGTGTATGCTCATACAGAAAAGGTAGCATGAAGACCAAGCTTTGATCATGGGAAACAAAGCTTTCCCTAGCTTACTACATGGGAACAGCACATAGAATTATTCATCCTTCCCTAGAGTAAATTGTGTTTGTTTTCATCATATGATTTTGTCAAGCTTCACCTGTAAATATTATATTCAGAAACTATGTGATATAATCCTTTATAAAGTGAACATTTCCTTTCAGTGGACAAATGGAAATATTTGGTCTCCTTCAGCTATGTGTAATCTCAGCACTTAAACTAAGCTCTTCTTTGACACTGCTACTCAAGTAAACTACCATAGCAACTATGTTCATACATACCTGCAAATTAGTAAGTGACCAGATTAATCATTTGATTAAAACCTCTCCGGTGTGATCAACTGCCATAGTTTGCAATGACATCTGATCTCAGCAGTGTGACGACTGGTTCATCACAAGTCTTTTAACAAATCTGTGTAGGTTTAGCGATAACACTTTGTCCTTACCTCTGAATCTTTGTCCAGTCGGTTCCGAACAACAATCATGTTATACAGTATCCTGTCATCATCTGCCTCTGTGTGAGTCAGGTCATGGGGGGCGCTCCATAAATTCTTCTCCTCATCTCTTGCCAGGGTGGCTCCAAATGAAGCATAAGGGTTGTCATCACTGAAATAAAGAAAACATCGAGACACAGTTAATGTCCAGGTTTGAACACTATAGTTACATAAGAGAACTGAGTGGTTGTAGGCACTCATAACACTTAGAATGTTTTTAATGTGATTTAAACTTGACGCAGACAGACATACAAGCCTATTAAACCAATTTAAATCTGCCTGGAATGGTTCAAAAGTATAACTGGAGAATCATTCTATTTTGAACCAGTTTGCTGTGACCCGGTGTGGACACCAGTGTTCTGTGACAAGTCTGATCAGTCCTCCAGGCATCCCACAGTGCATTGCTCCTCACCCATCCAACAGACTGCTGCAACAAGCTGCTCTAGTACCCAGCCAGAATTCTACTGTCCACCTCCCCCACCTTTTTCCCCTTTTGTTGGCACTTTTTAGCCATGAGATCATCTGTTCAATAAAAGCTATCTTTAACAACCAGCTGTACCCTCACTCCCTACTTGACCACAGCCCCTAGGAAGCAAAAAAACTTTGGGTCCAAGGTCCTTACCACCCACTCCAAGTCAGGCAACCATACTGCAGAGCTGAGTCAATTTCCATCTATTGACATTTACCAAACTTATGTTTAGGATAAAAGCAGAGAAGTGAAAACACCCCTAGCTACAAGTCCCTGGGATCCCCCCAAAGCACGGGTGCAAGAACTCCCTCCTACTTGCCCCCTGGGATGTATGCTGGGCTGGGTGTTTACTTCCACCCCATGGTGGTAGAGCAACAGTACTTCATACAACTGTAAACTGGTTCCAGTTTGTGACATTCTGGAACTGTTCAATTGACACATGTCCCCGCCCAGTAAGGGGTGTATTCTGGTTGCACCTTTGCCCCTGAGACCAAGAAGCCTGTATGCCAGTTTGACAGTAGGACTTGGTCTATTGCCCAGTGCTGACAGCACAAGACATCACCAATAGGGCACTGCACTAGTAAAAGGTGCTCTACTTCAGATAAGACAAGAAAGCCACAGACCTTAAAAAATCATACAATATTTGAAGGATCTTTTTCAGAGCCAGCATCTGTCCAATACCACATATTCAGTATATGATCACTACCACACTCATTGTCAGAGGCAACAGGGTACTACACTGAAGACAGATTTATTTTTTTAAACTCTTGATTCTAAAGTTAAAGAGCTTTATCTCCCTTTAGCTTCAGTATAGTTGCCTCTGCCCCAGAAGTTACTGGTGTTCAGGTAACTCCAAAACATCCAGATCACCCACAAGCTGAAAAGAGTTAACTAACAGTGGGCTCCACGGTATATGGCTACAATTGACAACATTCCCAAGAAGCCTCTCTTTGGCTTGAGAGGTTTAGCAAGATTTCTATGCCAAAAGAAGCAGTTTAAATACTCCTTTACACATTCCTACATGACACAGTAAGTCCCAACATGCCCCACTCTCACACCTGCATATGGGCTGGGGAAAATAGTTCTAGGAGTCAGAGAGCAGAGGCAGAGCCATAGCCATTTCTGACTCAGATTAACATCATCAACCCAAATTATGATTTCTCTTTTCTTCCAAATACAGATCTACTCTGAAAGTTCCTGTCATTCTCAGAAAGGAGCAAGGAGTTCCCCCTCCAAAACTGAAGTGTCTTGACCCTCTATTAGTATTACTGCCATGACCCTCTATTATTCTTTCCCTCTATTCAGCACTGGTGAGGCCACATCTAGAGTACTGTGTGCAGTTTTGCTCCCCACCCCCGCATTATAGGAAGGATGCAGACAAGTTGGAAAGAGTCCAGTGGAGAGCAACAAAAATGGTTAGGGGGCTGGGGCACATGACCTGTGAAGAGAGACTCAGGGAACCGGATTTATTTAATCTAGAGAAGAGAAGACTGAGGGGGGTTTTGACAGCAGCCTTCAACTACCTGAAAGGTGGTTCCAAAAAGGATGGAGCTAGACTGTTCTCAGTGGTGACAGATGACAGAACAAGGAGCAATGGTCTCAAGCTGCAGCAAGGGAAGTTTAAGTTGGATATTAGGAAAAACTCTCTCACTAGAAGCACGGTGTAGCACTGAAAAACGTTACTGGGGTGGGGGTGAAATCTCCAACCTTGGAGGTTTTTAAGGCCCATCTTGACAAAGCCCTGGCTGCAATGATCTAGCTGTGGATGGTTCTGTTTTGGTCAGGGGGTTGGACTAGATGACGTTTTGAGGTCCCTTCCAACCCTCATTTTCTAGGATTCTATGATTCCATGACCAAGCATTCAATTTAACCAGCCATCACAATCACAAACCCCATGCGATGCCCATATGCTGACGCTTCTGAATACCGTTTCTAGGGCAGGTTGGCCATCCTGCAGCACATGCCACAAGTGGCACAAGCAGCATGTGTGTGGGGTGGGGTGGGGGGGTTGTGGCATGCAGAAGATCAGGAAAGAAGCAGAGAACACAGCAACCGATCAGACAGGGAGCACAAAGCAGAACAGATTAGGAAGGAGATCAGAGTGGCACTCTGGGAGGGTGTAGGGCTTACCATGTGGCACACATGCCAAAAAAGTTGGTCTCCACTGCTCTAGGGCACCTGTGATTTAAGCTTAGCTATGCAGGCTTCGAGTGGGAACAGTCAAAATATAAAGCATTAGTTACTAAGTATTTCAGGACTCCAACATGCTAGCAGGAGACTTCATGTACACTATGAATATTTATAGAGTCAGAAATTAAGTTTGTTCCCTACTGGTTCACAAAACCTCTAATTCCTTTGGCTAAAAATAAGCCTAAAAATAATGCCCATGAGTGTCTGTGTAAGCAAGTTCTCTGAATATCCTAATCGTTATAAATCCCAAGAAATCAACAGAATTACATGTATAATCCCTGGTATGACCATCAAATTAATATTTGATCCTACCTCCTAGTTCCCATGTAACCAATGAATTTATAGTTTGGCAACAGAAACTTCTGGGATATCAATTTTTAACTTGCTTTTGCCTTTTCACAGGCATCAATCAAAGAGGCTACCTCCAGATAAGATGCCACTGTTTAAGAAGGCCTCTAACCCTGTGATTCTCAACTAGGGTGTCAGGACACCTTGGGTGGCACAAGATCCTTTGAGGGGTACCTCAGGAGGAGTGAGGAGATAAGCACAGACAGCAGCTTATCAGACAGACTCAGGCTCTCCCTCTCTGGCTCATCTCCCACCCCCATTGCCCACCCTCTCTCCAAGGAAGTAAGCACTGTAATACATTAATTTGTTTTTTAAATGAGGTGCTGCTCAGTTCACAGAAGTTATGGACGGGTGCCTTGAGTCTAATGAGGCTGAAAACCACTGCTCTAACAAGTAGGAGGTCTCAGGGTTGATACTATCAGAGCAGGGACAGTAGGTTACTAAACTTGCTTTCCTGTTTGCTTTCTACAAGAAATTGATGGTTTGGGGCTATAGAGATTTTTAATTAGACCCACCATTTGCCCATACAAAAATCTATTCAAAGATCAAAGAAGGACCTCAGTGGTCATGTAGGCCAAGTCCTGTACAGATGCAGGATTCACCGTTTCTAAATCTTCCCAGAGAGATGCCCCTCCAGACTACTCTTGAAAACGAGATTGCACAACTTCGCTAGGCAGCCTGTTCTATTCTCTTACAGTTAGGTCAAGTCTGAACTTGTGCCCATGCCAAACAAGGAAAACAGTAACACCAGTACTCCATCCTTAAACTCTAGTCCATGCACTCTTCTAGCACCAGATAGCTCCTTGAGATGCACAAAAACATAAGCAGAGAACAGTAACATCAGAGCTTTGCACTGATGTCACTTGTTATCCCTGTTCTTGTCACTTCCTTTGAAATAACAATGCATGTCTGTGCACACATGCATATATATTGCTTTTGACTAATGCTGGAGGTTTTGGGGCTAGTAATGGGGAAGTTACCAAAACATATGACTTATTAAGTGCCAGGAAAACTTTTGTTGTCCAATAAAACAAATTCTAGTTGTGAATAGCCAAGAAAATCCAAGAGCAGGTTGTGGGAAAGTCACCTATCACTTGTATTACTAATGGTCTGCTTTCTCAATATATCAGTGGCTCAGCATATCAGTGGCTAGTGATCAAGCTGTACTGTTCCCCAAAAGACCATGAGTATAAATTCAGTAGGTTCCCCAACATACTCTGTGGTCAACAAGGGGAACTTCTGCTGCCCCCTGCACAAGCAGAACAATGCTTTTCCTAAACAGTGGCATCGTAAGTACTGAAGAGAAGTGTTTCCAGGCAGCAAACACCATTTAAGGTCTCAAACCTTCCTCCTCCCTCATAGCAGCACCAACAGCTGCACTCTGCCTTGGCCTCACCATCCCTCTCCAAGGAATTTGAAAGGATGTAGCAGGAACTTTCTTGGGTTTATGCAGAAAGAGTCTTAATTTACTTTGGCTAGAAAACCCACATGGCTTTCAAGAGAAGGATATGAGGCCACAGGGAATGTCTTTTCCCTGGGCAGCTCCTTCTCAATCAAAACACAGCTACAAGAGTCCCTCCACAAGGAGCTGGCACAAGGGGAATGCCATGAAGGTTGGGAGAAGTAGATTTGGAGATAGCAGTTCCCTTCCCCCACCCCTTAGGTCTTGGCTGTAGTTTCTCCATTTATTTTATACTTTTGTGAGTGGAAGTAATTGGAATTCAACAGCTTTGGATTTCCTGGCCAAGAAAACTGTAACCTTTCCCACTCATCTTGCTCCATATTAGCTCCAGCCCTGGATGCAAAATCTCTTGGATAAATAAGAAGTCTGGGTACAGCAAGACAGCATATGTCAACACATCAGTCCTTCACAGCTACTGGCTACCCACCAGGGGAGGATGGATAAAAACAGGAGTGGGCTTGTGATGAAGTCAGTGCAGTGGAATTCAGGAGATCTTTGCTCAGTTCCTGGCCTTGCCACAGAGATGGTTCATGACTACAGATAAGGCCAGATTCACACTCACCTCCCCCTCCCAAATTCAAGGATATAGGTGCCTAAACAGGACTTAGGTGGACTTGAGCTGCCTAAATTCCACACCCCCACT